TCGAATAAACAATACAATAATATTCGGGAGCTTTAATTTGAGAGCTTTAATGGTGGGTCCCACATGGTGATGTGATATTTTGGCTTGTGTATTTCTTTTTAATAATGATACATCTCTCTAAATTAATGAGCTCTAATGACATGGAAAGTCAAAAAAAAAAAAAAAAAAAAAAAAAACACACACAAAAACATCACTATCACAATGAGACACACACCCCATTAGAACTATTAGAGCTCCAAAACATTTTTTTTTTTTTTGTTTGCCACATCAGAAGAGCTCATAGTAGAGCTCTAGTTTTAGAGCTCTCTATCACTATCCTAAGCTACATGATCTATCTAGATCACAATTGAATTAGATTCCAACAAATAAGACAAGTAGATTGGAACATTTTTTAAATCCAAAAATCAACATTTCATTAAAAACATGAAATTGAAGGTATAAGAAAAATAAATGTATTGAGAGAGATTTGGAGAGTGTGCAAACTCTCCTACTACTATTTTTCATTTTTAAACAACAAAAACATAAAAACAAAGCAACTACAATTGAAGAAAAAAATGGCTAAGAAGATTTCGGCTAACACTTAGTAGCTTGAAACCCACAAACAGCATAACTTAATCTTTATTTATTTATTTATTTTTATTTTTTATCAACAAAGAAGACAAGTAGATGGAACATTTTTTTTATTTATCCAAAAGTGAACATTTCATTAAAAACATGAACAGAAGGTGTAATGGAAGTGCACTTTCAAACCAACCTCTCGAAAACTAGTCCCCGCATAACCTTTCTCAAAAGCAAAAGAGGACCACTGAGAATAAGAATCAACCACAACAAAAGCAGAAGAGAACCATTGTGATAGAATCGTCAGTATTCCCGTCGTCGAAACAGCAGCACCAAACGAGTTCACAAGGGCAATCAACATTTTTTTGGGATGGACAGGTAGCCATTCATGTGCCATTTTTCACCTCCATCACGATGTGCATAAGGGCAAGACGGAGTGAAGGCTTTGTCTAAAAGCATGTTCCATGCTGCATTCGGGTCTTGAGTTGAGAACATGGTCCAAGTACCAGTGGAATTCTCATATCTACTATGTGTGATGCGATTGAACTTCACATTCTTGTTCTTATATATGTTATCTGAGTCAATGTCGAAAGTGAAGATATCTCCGTAAGGCCTCACAGAGTGCAGGAAGAGAGGCAAAGAGATGGGATCAACAAACACTGCAGCAAGATCCGCAGTCACAACGATACTCTTTCCATCTGGACTAAAGAATGGATGGTTCACATGCCCTACAACATCACTTCCACTAGCCATCACTCTTACCACCACTGATGGATCATTCGCCTTCACTAGAAACACTGCAAAATATCCTGGGTCAAGACCATTGTCACTTTCTGGTGCACCTTCTGGCTTGTCACGGGTTGACGAGAATACTATCCAATCTCCCCTTGGGGACCATTGGCAATGTGTGTCAGTCCAAGGCCCATTTGTTAGCCTCGTTATTTCACCTCCTCCATATTCTCCTGATTGTGCGTTCTTCATTATGTATAGATTCTTGTATCTTTTATTCCCTCCATCTCTTGTAGATCGAAAGACTAATTTCGTCCCTGTTACAGTTTTCAACCCATCCATCCGCACAAATTAAAATTTGAAGCTATAATATTATAATAAACGGTATTTTGTCATTCAAAAGCATATATATTAACATTGGAAAAACTATAATATTATAATTAGTTGCTGACTTACTAATGGGTTGCCCAAGGATTGGTGAAACAATTGAACTTCAAATGAGACTCATAATTAAGTTATAAAAATATTTAAATTACTTTCAATGGATAAATACTGTTTTTTTATAATTGGGTATTTGAAAATGAATCAGAAGGAACAAGTAGGAAGTTACCGTTTGGATTGGTGGATGGGAAGGCATTATTGAAACCTTTTGTGAGTTGTACACGACGTTGTGCACCACTGGACACGTTAGGGATAGCACAAATGTTTACTGTTTTGTCAGATTTGAAAGGAGGTCCCATGTTAACATATAATATATCCTTGTCTGGACTTTGATTCCAAACTGGTGAGAAGATATTGTCCGGGCCTTTCGTCTACATAAACAAAACTGATTATCAGCTATCAATCAAAGATAAACACAATTGCGCATTAATACAATTATAGTAATATTATTCTTGCACTTATGTACCTCGAAAACAATACGCAACCCTTCGCTATCGGCTACCCACATGGCCTTGAACTCATTGTCCATGAATGCGAGTTTGGAGCCGTCTTTGGAAAATGTTGGAAAGATTCCCGGCACCCTAAACAGTCCTACATCCGGATGAGGAGATTCGAGCTTGTGGGAGTTTCTTCGGATATCTTCTCCACTCTGTCACAAAGTAATAATTGTACGTATGTAGCAGGTTAGCTCTTAAACATGGCTGGCTAGAAAAAGAATTCAAAGTAGAGTAGTTTGAAAAGTGGTTAATCGGTATGTACCTTTAGAAGGTTGCTCTTGCAACGATGGTAACCGATGCGCTTCCCACCATCTATCACAAAGGGGTTGAAATGGTCAACCCTTGGCATGGTATTTTGAGTGATTCGTATGTTTTGTTGCTGTCCAGTTGAATAAAAAATCTCAATGTGCCGAAACTGTGTTTTTACACGGACGACGTCCGAGAGCTTTGATTTCTGACGAATAGTTGCCACTGCTACTCTGGTGGCGTCGATGGCTGCCGGAGTTATTGCCTGAATTTCGTCCGGGGTCACCCGAGATTCTGTACCGCTATTGAGGTCGGTATGGAACACACCCCAAAATTCCCGATTCTTGTGGTGGAAAAATATGACGTTGTCGCTTTCCCATGTCGGCCACCCACCATTCCTTACAACCAACTTGCAGTTGAAGGGTTCCTCTACGTTCGTAACAAAAATGTTAGTCTGCAGATCTTTGATCTCACCATTCCAACCACCATGCTTTCCCTCGAAGGACGCCACCGCTATCTTCGTACCAGACGGTGCAACCGAGGGGCTTAAATCAGCTTGCCCTGTTTTGTTTTTATAAGCCAAAAGTCATATTGATGAAGCAGGAAACGTACAAAGTATGAAATCCGATGACACAGCTGGAAAACTAAAGAAGCATCAAGGCTACCTCACTCACACAATGCTCAATAGAATCAAGCAAATCCAACTGCAGAAACCATGAAACAGCTAGAACTAAACACTACTAACTTCAACCAACTAAACACTACTAACTTCAACCAAAAATCTAAAACAGCGAACCCCGAAAAGAGAATGATGAAAGGAACCTACCTAATGGAGTGAGGCGGTCAGTTTTTCCGGTCTTGAGATTGGTTTTATAGACGGCAGTCCAGGGCTGACAACGATCAGGGGCGAGGTCCTTGGTGGTGACATAGACGAGATTATCACCGGCAATGCAACCACTGTCTTCCATGCGAACACCACTAAAATTGACTTTGCCGAAAACATTAGCCAAACAGAAGACTTTGACTTTGGGTTTGGGTGGGTATGGGTTGTAAATGCCATTGAAGCAGAGAGCTATGTGAAGCAATTCGAGGCCTTCTTGTTGTTCGGAGATGAAAACCATGCCCGAGAGACGACCTGAATTTACATCGGCCTCTTTGCCTCCTTCGGAAGCCAAGGCCAATTTTTGGCGCTTGAGAATTGTATTGAGAGCCGCCGATGAAATTTCTTGGCCGTTGTAATTGTGGTTCACTCTATCAGTCATGGGAAGCTCATCTTGCTTCGATGTTGGCCAAAGCGGGCACGAGAATATGTCCAGCGGCACCTGTGGTCGGTAGGTTGCGGAGAAGCCAATGCTACCTCTCTTCTCTGCCATCTTCTTCTATGATTTCTAAATCTTTTTTCGCTCAAAGGACTTGTTTGGGAGCAGCCAGTTTAGTCAAAAAGTCAAAAAGTTACTAAAAAGGTCAAAAAGCCAATAACTCATACCAAAAAGTCAAAGATTCTTTTTTCTCTCTACTTTTTGCACATCTTTTCGTAAAAAGCCAAAAAGTCATCCTAAACATACTAATTTTTTTTAGTTCATATTTTAGCTAAATAGTCAAAAAGTTACTAAATTAGCCTATTCCCAAACGAGGCCTAAGAGTAAAGTCAGCAAAAACTCCACCAAAGGCCTTTCGTCTACATAAACAAAACTGATTATCAGCTATCAATCAAAGATAAACACAATTGCGCATTAATACAATTATAGTAATATTATTCTTGCACTTATGTACCTCGAAAACAATACGCAACCCTTCACTATCGGCTACCCACACGGCCTTGAACTCATTGTCCATGAATGCGAGTTTGGAGCCGTCTTTGGAAAATGTTGGAAAGATTCCCGGCACCCTAAACAGTCCTACATCCGGATGAGGAGATTCGAGCTTGTGGGAGTTTCTTCGGATATCTTCTCCACTCTGTCACAAAGTAATAATTGTACGTATGTAGCAGGTTAGCTCTTAAACATGGCTGGCTAGAAAAAGAATTCAAAGTAAAGTAGTTTGAAAAGTGGTTAATCGGTATGTACCTTTAGAAGGTTGCTCTTGCAACGATGGTAACGGATGCGCTTCCCGCCATCTATCACAAAGGGGTTGAAATGGTCAACCCTTGGCATGGTATTTTGAGTGATTCGTATGTTTTGTTGCTGTCCAGTTGAATCAAAAATCTCAATGTGTCGAAACTGTGTTTTTACACGGACGACGTCCGAGAGCTTTGATTTCTGACGAATAGTTGCCACTGCTACTCTGGTGGCGTCGATGGCTGCCGGAGTTATTGCCTGAATTTCGTCCGGGGTCACCCGAGATTCTGTACCGCTGTTGAGGTCGGTATGGAACACACCCCAAAATTCCCGATTCTTGTGGTGGAAAAATATGACGTTGTCGCTTTCCCATGTCGGCCACCCACCATTCCTTACAACCAACTTGCAGTTGAAGGGCTCCTCTACGTTCGTAACAAAAATGTTAGTCTGCAGATCTTTGATCTCGCCATTCCAACCACCATGCTTTCCCTCGAAGGACGCCACCGCTATCTTCGTACCAGACGGTGCAACCGAGGGGCTTAAATTAGCTTGCCCTGTTTTGTTTTTATAAGCCAAAAGTCATATTGATGAAGCAGGAAACGTACAAAGTATGAAATCCGATGACACAGCTGGAAAACTAAAGAAGCATCAAGGCTACCTCACTCACACAATGCTCAATAGAATCAAGCAAATCCAACTGCAGAAACCATGAAACAGCTAGAACTAAACACTACTAACTTCAACCAACTAAACACTACTAACTTCAACCAAAAATCTAAAACAGCGAACCCCGAAAAGAGAATGATGAAAGGAACCTACCTAATGGAGTGAGGCGGTCAGTTTTTCCGGTCTTGAGATTGGTTTTATAGACGGCAGTCCAGGGCTGACAACGATCAGGGGCGAGGTCCTTGGTGGTGACATAGACGAGATTATCACCGGCAATGCAACCACTGTCTTCCATGCGAACACCACTGAAATTGACTTTGCCGAAAACATTAGCCAAACAGAAGACTTTGACTTTAGGTTTGGGTGGGTATGGGTTGTAAATGCCATTGAAGCAGAGAGCTATGTGAAGCAATTCGAGGCCTTCTTGTTGTTTGGAGATGAAAACCATGCCCGAGAGACGACCTGAATTTACATCGGCCTCTTTGCCTCCTTCGGAAGCCAAGGCCAATTTTTGGCGCTTGAGAATTGTATTGAGAGCCGCCGATGAAATTTCTTGGCCGTTGTAATTGTGGTTCACTCTATCAGTCATGGGAAGCTCATCTTGCTTCGATGTTGGCCAAAGCGGGCACGAGAATATGTCCAGCGGCACCTGTGGTCGGTAGGTTGCGGAGAAGCCAATGCTACCTCTCTTCTCTGCCATCTTCTTCTATGATTTCTAAATCTTTTTTCGCTCAAAGGACTTGTTTGGGAGCAGCCAGTTTAGTCAAAAAGTCAAAAAGTTACTAAAAAGGTCAAAAAGCCAACAACTCATACCAAAAAGTCAAAGATTCTCTTTTCTCTCTACTTTTTGCACATCTTTTCGTAAAAAGCCAAAAAGTCATCCTAAACATACTAATTTTTTTTAGTTCATATTTTAGCTAAATAGTCAAAAAGTTACTAAATTAGCCTATTCCCAAACGAGGCCTAAGAGTAAAGTCAGCAAAAACTCCACCAAATAGGGGTATTACGATGTCAGAGATGATGGGCGGTCCTCGGCTCCCATTTACTCACTATTTTCAAACCCCACAACCGCGAGCGGATCCTCTAGAGTAACTCTCTAGAGTGATCTCCTAAAGTGGATGATCGGACGGCTGTGGTTAAGCCTCACCAAAACAACGTCGTTTTGGTGAGGACTTTCAAAAAAAAAAAAAGAAAAACCAGATTCGGGGATTTCAAACTTCCCCCCATATGAAGAACTATATTAGACAGACGGCGGGAAGAAGCGAGCGAAACGAGAGAGCGAGCGGATCCTCTAGAGTAACTCTCTAGAGTGATCTCCTAAAGTGGATGATCGGACGGCTGTGGTTAAGCCTCACCAAAACGACGTCGTTTTGGTGAGGACTTTCAAAAAAAAAAAAAAGAAAAACCAGATTCGGGGATTTCAAACTTCCCCCCCATATGAAGAACTATATAGACAGACGGCGGGAAGAAGCGAGCGAAACGAGAGAGCGAAGAAGAGTTTGTTTGAGGCCGATACCTGCATCCCTGTTGCCCCACCGTCGTGCCGTCGCCCCTGCTCTGCTCCAACTGATTGAAACGTATATAGGTATAGTTCGATTTTGTTTTTTTTTTGTCTCTTCTAAATCGAAGTTTCTAAATCTGTGGGTTTGTTTCTGAATCGAAGTTTCTCTTATACATATATGAACAAGGATTGTTTTTAAATTTACAGATTCATGTTTTAGAAGAGACCAAACCCACAGATTCATGTCAGACATCAATTTTAGTATCTGAACAAGGATTGTTTTTTTAGAAGGGATTGTCTGAATAAACCCACAGATTCATATTAATTGCAGACATTGAAACCATGTTAAGCGCAAAATTCAATATGCCTTGTTCAGATACTATTCAACAAGAAAGCCCCACCGGCACATGCCTCGAAAGCTTTGAAGTGGATGGTGTAGTGGATAAAAATGTAGTTCAAGCAAAAAGACTCAAGAGAAGAGAGTGCACTAGCAAGGGAAGAAGGTGGACAAAAGGTGGTTTGGAGCTTGCTTTGGCAAAGAAAAATAAAACAAGTTCACATAATGCTTCTCAAACTTCCATGTCTGTTACTCCTCAAACTCCTCCCTTATTTTCGGCAAGTGCTCCTGAAGCACCTCCCTTAATTCCTCAGTCGGCTCCTTTATTTTCAAGTGTTCCTCAACTTCCTCCATTCTCGCCGAGTGTTCCTCAAGTTAGAGCTTCTTCATCTCAATTTATGTATCCCGCCTATGATGTAAGTTAGTTTAATAACTTGTTTTAGTACGGATTTGTAGCTGCCTATTATCATTTTAGATTGATATGTGTTTGTTATTGTTGCAGCCAAGTTTTCTTCATCACAATATGCATTTTTCAATGCCATCGATGTATTCCGTCCATGGAACCTATCAAGCATTGCTTAACAATGCAAGTAGTTGTCACTCGCAAGCTTCAAATAGTCCCGCATGTAGTGAAGTAATTTTTTTTTCACCTTTCCTCTTTTATTTTGTCATTCATTCATTTAAAGTTCCATTTTATTTTATGGTTCCTTTGATGTAATATTATTATTATTTTTTTGTAGGTACTATATGGTCGTGGTCGTGGGCGTGGCCGTGGGCATGGGGATGTGGATCACACGCCAACATCTTAGCATTATTTTGTTTAGGGAATTTTTGTGAAATTTTTGTTGGATATGTAATATTCAAAACCTTTCATCAAACTGTTGCTAAAAATTTTCTGTTGAAATTACTCAGTAAATGTTGCTGAAACTTTGGTTGACATGTTGAAATTTTGATTAATTTCATGAAACTGTTGCTGAAATAGAGTTGATGAAATGTTATTGAAATTGTTGCTGAAATTTTGCTGAAATGGAGTTAAAATGTTGCTGAATTTGTTGTTAAATTGTTGCTGAAATAGAGTTAAACTGTTGCAGATTTTTTGCTTGAATAATGCTCAAATGTTGCTGAAATAGAGTTGATTAAATGTTGCTAAAATTTTGCTGAGATGGAGTTAAAATGTTGCTGAATTTGTTGCTCAAAAGTTGCTGAAATTGAGTTGAAACCTGTTATACAACTTTGAACATTTCATATAATACAGCAACCTGTTATACAACATTCAACATTTAAACATTTTCAATACATTTTAGAAACCTGTTATACAACATTCAACATTTTCAAAATTTCAACATTTCGACATTTCAACATTTAACATTATTCAACATTTCATAAACCTGTTATACAACATTCAACATTTTCAAACCATCACATATAATACACATTGTTAAGAAACGAACATAATTCAATAGATTTCACAAACTGTTCATTCAACATTTCATCTCAAACAAAGCTGTTACACACTTGTTTTTACAAACTTTCAGATTTTTAAGCACCAAAAAAAAATTACAAAACAAGTACAAAAGTAGATTACATTCATAGCATACTCCAAAACCTAAGAACTGAGTCATTTACATGATAAAGTACAAAAATACACAAAATACAATCACATAAGTCATTGCCTTCAATATCTTCTCAATCCTTTGAAGCCTTCTATCATGCTCACCAAGCCTTGTCCTTACATCATTCATTTCTTCTGTTCTTGAATCTGTCCGAGGTCCAGCATTGGCACGGATTGATGAGGTAATGTCGTCATCATCGTCATCATCATTTGTTAACCACTTGAAGTAATTGCAGTGGTTGTTCAAAGTCTACAATGGACAAGAATCAATTAATCAATAAAGGACTAATGAAATTTGTAAAAAGTAACAGATTCATTTATATAACAGGTACTTACATATTTTCTTGGGCAAACAAAATATACACGACCTTCATTTCCATTCGCATTGGTTTGTACAATATGCACGGAAGCTATTCTTCCACAATTACAAAACCTTGGCTTCAATCTTAAGTTCGTATTATCAATAGAAGATGAAGCCATTTTTTATTCTGCATAAAAAAACAAGTTATTAACAAGTGTCTTAGGAAAGTCAATAGAAGACACGGTGTTCCACAGTTCCAGCAATGCACTTCTTGAAAACCAGGGAATGTCAGAAACATGAAGAGAAAATTCCCAAGTGCATCTAATTGAAATATTGATGCTAGTGAGAAAGTTGTCTCTGTATAAGGATTAACAATTAAATTGCATTATGTGGTCAAATCTGTGCATCAAAGTCATCCAGCATACTGAGTAAATAAGACAAATCAAGCAGTTAATTTATACATAATAAAGAACACATTTCCCTTATAGAATTCATCTCCATGGCATTATTGGTGGAGGACTGGTAGGTATATCCCTGCTGTACCCAATTGCATTGGATATAGCATCTATTTCCATAGTTGATGTAAGATTTAATATGCGAAGTTGTCTTATAGCTCTCACTTTTTGTGTGTCTGTCTATAGAGTGATTTGATTCTGTGCTGAAAACTCAAGAACTGATCCTAATCACCAAATGTTCATAAGTTCATATTGTCAAATTTTTGTTAATAGCTCTTTACCTTGACTATGTGTAAGTCAGAAGACCTTATTTCCAAATCTCTGGTAAACTGGTATCCAATTCAACATATAATACCTTAAAACAAGGACCATATCAAGCATCCTGTCACAGATCTTGATTATATGAATTTGACAAATTATCATTGTTCTTCTTTATGCAATTGAATCACAAGTAACAATTCCGCACACATTAAGGGATACATTAACAAAACCCCACTACTAATAACCACAAGCCTTGTTATTAGCTCCAGATATCTGAGCTGAGCTGGGTTGGGCCCCTAGTATTCACTTTTTATTTATTTATTAAAATAAGTTGCATTTTCAAAGACTGGAAACAAGGGAATTATTTCACCTCATAAACTTGGATAAGCAAATGAAAAGAAAGCGAGAAGAATTTAATAACAAGACAAGAAGATTTTCATGCACAAACCACACAAAGCATGCATTACAAATACCTCTGCATGCACAGCTACCAGAGTATGCAATAACTCTACAGCAGCATCTCCCAGACCATTTCATGAGGTTCTTCATCAAAATAAAAATGCAAAGCAGTGGATGGAATGGAAGAAACCAATAGCAAATAGTAGCATAATGATCTTTTTGGGGTATTTTAAATTGAATAAGATTTTAAGAATTTAGTAATTTATTGAAAGTATTGGGGGAAAAATTTAACTTCAGTTTGTCAAAGCTAAATAAGAACCCAGACACAGATGGCTATATTTACCAATCTCTTGTTGATTTCTGCTTCCACAAGATGAGCTAAAAGTTTATGTGTCTCAATCTGGAAACGAACACAAAAAGGAGAACAATAACCACAAGCCTGGTAATCAACCAATTTTGAATTCCATTTACAATATCCAAAAAAAAAAAAAAGGACCTAAACAGTAGGCCATTTTCAAAAAACAATTTTTAAATCAAAATTTTAAAAATTAACTCAAAAAAATGGAACTAAACACAGTGATCCCAAAAATGGAACTCAAGAAAAGGCAAATCCCAAAGCCTAACAGGTATCACAAATTAAAGCCAAATCCCAAACCCTAACACAAATACCAAACAAAATCCAACCCGAAACACTCCCAATCGACTAATGTATGGAAAAAAATTGAAGCCGAAAGTAAACGTAAACCCTAACTTCACTATGATTCAGGTTTACCTCGATTCGCTGTCGCAGGCTCCCCGTTCGTCCTCCGTCCTGGTTCGTCGTCCCCCGTCCTC